TTCAAGATTTTCTCTTTAGTTTCTTTTTTTTCTTTTCTTTTTTTTCTCGGTACCGGGTATCGAACTCACGACCTTGCGCTTGCTGGGCAGGCGCTGTGCTGCTGAGCTAAATCCCCAGCCCCTCTTTACTTTCATTATATTTATGTCATTTGTTTTCCTTGGGTCTATCATGTTGTGTTCCTTGAACATCTCGCATTTGTATCTTCCACCAAATTTGAGAACTTTTTATCTGAGTTCTGAGAAATGTGTCATTAGACAGCTTCATCACTGTGCAGTGTTCAAGAGTAGACCAACAAAAACCAGGTGGCACAGCCTATTACACATGTAGGCAGTTCTCTATGTGGTCTGTCACTGGTCAGATGGTCAATACCATGGAGTGCATGACTGCATTTTGACATAAACCTTCTACTCTTCTTTAGGGCTCTGTTATTTCACCTAGATTTTTGTTTGGCGTTGTCATATCATGAGGCTGTTGTTCATACAGTGAATAATTTGGGAGTATATCATGGACATTTTCAGTATTAGGATGCCCTTGCTCTTTAAATTCCTTGCGAGGGCTGGGGATATAGCTCAGCAGCACAAGCGCCTGCCTGGCAATTGCAGGGTCTTGAGTTCAATTCCCGGTACCAAAAAAAAAAAATCCCTTGGGAAAATGCAGATATTTCTTTGACCAGGAAAATGGCCCAAGTGGATTTAGCATGCAAGTTTCTTTGAGCATTCTGTGCTTTGTTTCAATGTGAATTCTATTTTTGAAATCTTTTCCAGCTGTGTATTGATGTTACATACCTGAAATCTGGGAGGTTGAGGCAGGATCACAAGTTGAACCCGAGTGGGCAACTTAGTGAGACCCTGTCTCAAAGGAACGGGGATGTAGCTCAGTGTGAAGGCCCTGCCCTTAATCCCCAGTACTGAGGGCAGGGGAAGGCTGGTCTACATGGAGTTGGTCTGTCTCATAGTTCTCAAAGTCTATTTTATGTCTCACTGCCACCAAAGGATTGCCTATAGGCAGCAAGTAAATGGAGAAGACAAAAACCTTTGGAATTGATATTTTTCTCTCTGAACATTACAATTGCTTGTGGTTGAAACTGAGGTCCTGTGATAATTTTATGTGCTCAAGAGGTAGGGAAATTAGAAAGGCAAGGCAGGAAGACTAGTATTAGTGATTATGAATTTTTCATTTTTGTGTACTGAGCTACATCCACAGCACTTCTTTACTTTTCTGAGACAGAGATCCACTAAATTGCTATGTTTCACAGGTGGGGTAAGAACTTGTGATTCTCCTGCCTCTGCCTTCCATAGTGTGAGGGTTACAGGCATGTGCCACTGCATGGCTCCGCTGCGTAATTCTCATAGGCTCAAGAGCATGGAAGTCCCTTGTTGTCTAGGGCAGGGGAAACACTGACCTGGTGTATGAGAGAAGAGGAAGAACGGAGCTTCGGTTTGAAAATATTATTATTAGTTTCTTCTTTTTTTTATGTATGTGGTGCTGGGGATCAAACCCAGGGCCTTGTGCATGCAAGGCAAGAGCTCTACCACTGAGCCACATCCCTAGCCCCTGAAAATAAAATACATGCTCCCAACAAGTTATTTTTAAGAATAAGTACCAGCCCTAGGAAAGGTAGTCTGTCTAGGCAATAAGACCTTCAGTATGACAGTGTATCCTAATGTACAGGAAATAGAACACATGACTGATACAGTCAATCCTCACGTAGTTTGACATCACACCAGAAAACTTTTGGAGGATGATAATGGAGATATTCAGGTCATAGGGCATTAGCAAAACACTTCATTATAAGAGTAATGAGGAGAAATGTAGGTAGAAAGATATGCACTATTTGTAGGCCTACCTATAACCAAGTTCTCCAATATACATCCTATTGCTCAGAAACAAAGATATGAAATTGAGGGGTCAATAGTTGTATCTTTATAGGGTTGTAAAGTGTGTTAAAAGTATACGTGACATTAATCCAGATGGCAGATCTGGAGTTACACTGTTTGAGGTTATAAACTCATACATTAGAAAAACATACTCAGAAATAAGTGGCTTTCTTTGAATTCAATAGGAAATAATAAGATCAACATGGAAATCAGTAGGGGTTAGTGGAAGGCACCAAGAAGACAGTACTCCCAGTACTCCCCCCTTTGGGGTGTCGGTGCTTTGACAGATAAGCCTGCTGGGGAAACCAAAAACATCTGTTAACTCTCAGACAGCACAGATAGCAGTACCCCCTTCAAACTTCCTTGTTGGGCGTGGGGCATAGAGCTGTATGTTTTGGCTCAGATTACATCAGGATCATAGGCTGTTATGGCATTTTAGATGCCCCCTGCCAAACCTCATGCAGTCATAGGTGGGGCTTTTTAAGAGGTGGCTGGATCTAGTGTGTGTGATGCTAGGATTAAGGGCACTAAAATTAAAGGTGTGTGTGCTACCTGCCCTAAGGGTGGGTAGACTGAATAAAATATAAGGGAATGAAGAAGGCTGGCCACTGGTTTATTTTTGCTCTTGCCTGCCTGCTTGCTGTGGACTATTTCTCCTCTGTGATGCCCCTCTGCCATGCCGCCCTGACTTGGAGGCAGCTATGGACTGAAACCTCTGCAAACTGTGGAAAAATAATTCTTTCCTCCTTATTTTATTTTATTTATTTATTTTTCCGGTACTGGGAATCAAACTCATGACCTTGCGCTTGCTAGACAGGCACTGTGCTGCTGAGCTAAATCCCCAGCCCCTCTTTCCTCCTTTAACTTTGGGTATCAAGTATCTTGTTTCAGCAACAAGAAAAGTAACTAAGACAGGAACAGACCAATAGCAAGCTCAAGCATACATGAAACCCCAAATACCGAAGCAACTCTTTTTGTGCACATTTTGTGCCCGAGGAGCACTGGTCCATAGACATTCTACAAGGGAGGTTCTGAGGAACCTGAACTCTTCTCCAGTGAGGAAGGTCATCTCCAAAGGCAAGCTCTTGGCACTGAAGGGCGTGTTTATCAGCAGTGAGCTTCTCAGGCAGTGGAGTCTGTGGACTGTGACACTAGGCTGTCATTTGTTAACGATACTAAGCTCCAGGCTGAGGCCAACCTGCAGTATCTACTTCAACCGTGACCACTTGATTATACTCAGAAGTTCTGAACAAGTTCCCACTGAGACACGTATCTTATTTCAGACCATCAGACTAGCAGCTAGGCTAATCTATGACCAGTGACAACATACAGCAGGGACTTGAGACTGATCTGATTAGTTTTGGTGCCACTGCCAACACAGAAAGGTGGTAACCTGTGGTCTAAATAGCAATACTCACCCTACAGGAGAACCACTCCATCATCTACTCCTAACTTGCAAACATTTACGCTACACGAAGATGTGCAGGTCTCTTCTGTTGAGGATTTATTGTTTGCCTTGCTTTGGGTTACAACACACTGGCTGGCTGAAGAGCCATCAAACAGCTACAACCCTTACGGCCATCACAACATAATCCACAACCCAGCGATATATAAAATTTTGACCATTGAGACTGAAATCTGGTTGCGCTGGGTGTTTGTATCCAAATGCCACATCAGGAAGTGCTATGACGGTTCCTAGCACCCAGGAACATGACTATAACAACCAGCATGTTCGTAGGGTCTCACTATGCAGTTCAGGCTGGATTTGAACTCACTTTGTAGCCCAGGCTGGCCTCGAACTTGGAGCAATCCTCCTGCCTTAGCCTCTTGAGTGCTGGGATTACAGGTATGTGCCATCACACCTGTTCAGTTTTTGTTTCCATAATATATGGAAAGACAAATCACAGTAAGGTATTACAGTCAGTTGGAATTGCTGCTTGGCTCAAGATTGTTTTGCCAATGTGTAGAATAGATCTAGAGAGGAAAAATTTAAGACTCTTACTCCCTTCCCATATTGCCCAATTTTACAAGAATTCCTATTCTTAGGTGTAAAGAGTATGGCTCTCTTCCTCTATGGTCATGAAGTTGGGGTCTCTCCCACTATAAGCTATCCACTCAGCCCCTCTCCACTCATTCCTTTTAGCACCCTGATCTTTAATCTGAAAGGATCAGATGTAAGGTAGGAACAAGGACAATGTAATAAACTTGATAGCTCAATCAGATCCAAAATTTGATTGTTGTTTCTGTAGGTGAATCATCTTTAAGAGTATGACAAACCACCTGCAGAATCTGTATTGGTAAAATAGGAACTGGAGATGTACCTCAGTAGTATGGGTTCAGTCCTACAGGCAAAAAGGTAAGATAAATTCATGTCCTTGATATCACTTTTGACTAGGTGCAACCTCTAAGGAATAGCAACTTGAGTTGAATATTGTTGTTAAACAAGACTGACTTACCAGCCCTGGAGTAACCAGGAAAGGATCACAGATGTTCAAAATAAACCATCCAGAAGGCTCTATCCCTGTCAGGATCCAAGATTTCAGGACACAGTGATACTATTCCTGTATTAGGAACGTTGTGTTGGTTGTGGGCCTCTGTTTTTGAGTTTGTGGAATAATCACATGTATAAAACAACTTCGTAGTTGGGTCTCAGCTACTTGAGAGGCTGAGGTAGAAGTATCCCAAGTTTGATGCCAACCTGGGCAACTTAGTGAGACCTTATCTCAAAATAAAAAGGTCTTGGCATGTAGTTCAGTGATGGGAGTGCTTCCCTAGCATGCATAGGGCCCCAGGTTCAATTTGTAGTACTACAATAAAAATACAAAATGACTCTGTACCCTTCCTTACCTTAAAAAACTGTTCTCCACTGTGGTATCACAAGAGAACATCAAAGTGTTTTGCAGAATTACAACTTTTCAACATCTTGTACATCAATAGTTTCTCTCTACCGCAGGACCTTACACATTTATTAAGTCCCCAGGAAACACTGAGGATGGTTTGTATTTCTTACATCATATTGCTCCAGGATAAGTTCTTTCTTTCTTTGTATTTGTTTTTTGAGGCAAAGTCTCACTGTGTAGTTCAGGCTGGCCTTGAACTCACTATGTAGCCCAGGCTAGCCTCAAACTTTCAATGATCCTCCTGTCTCAGCCTCCTGAGTGCTGGGATTACAGGCATGAACCACCAGGCCTGGCAAGAGTGAGTTCTTACAATGCTGCCCTGTGATCAGACTCCAATAACCTCACAGATTCCTTACTTCACACAGGATCTTGAGAATAAAGTGATTTCAGTGTCTTTGAAATAAATTGTCAACACTAAAGATTGCTCCTCAATCCTTACATTAGGTTTCTCACCAGTGTAAATTCCAGTGTGACAATTAACATATGAAGAATTCTTAAAGGATTTTCGACATTTTCCCAATTCAAAGGGTTTCTGTTCAATGTGTCATTAAATGCTCGCTTAGGAGATAAAACCTACTGTAGGCTTTCCCACATTCCTGATATTTATAGGACTTCTCCCTACCATGAGTTCTTACATGGTGATATAGGTTTGAGGATGTTGTAAAGGCTTTCCCACATTCCCTACATTCATAGGGCTTCTCCCCTGTGTGTGTTCTGAGGTGTTCAGCCAGACTTGAGGAAACGGTGAAGGCTTTCCCACAGTACTGACACTTATAGGGTTTTATTCCAGTATGGATACGAATGTGCTTATTAAGGCATGAGGAGTTTCCAAAGAATTTTCCGCATACCTTACATTCAAAGGGCTTTTCCCCTGTGTGAGTTTTCACATGTTCAGTCAGCAGATAACACCTTTTGTAGGCTTTCCCACACTCCTTACATTGGTACGGTTTCTCTCCCGTGTGAGTTCTTTTATGAACAATCAGACATGAGGATGTGGTGAAGGATTTCCCACATTCCTTACATTCATAGGGCCGCTCTCCGGTGTGAGTTCGTGTATGTTCAGTCAGACTTGAAGAAACAGTGAAGTCTTTCCCACAGTACTTACATTTATATGGTTTGATTCCTGTGTGAATTCGAATGTGCTTATTCCGGCAGGCAGAACTTCTAAAGGATTTTCCACATAACTTACATTCAAAGGGCTTCTCCACCGTGTGAGTTTTCAAGTGTTCAGTCAGCAGGTAACACCTTTTGTAGGCTTTCCCACATTCCTTACATTCATAAGGTTTCTCTCTACTGTGAGTTCTTACATGTTTCCGTAGATTGGAGGAAGTGTGGAAGGCTTTCCCACACTCCTCACATTCGTAGGTTTTCTCTCCAGTGTGAATCCTTTCATGTTTACGCAGGTAGGAAGCTGCATGGAAAGCTTTCCCACATTCCTCACACCGGTAGGGTTTCTCTCCAGTATGAATTCTGAAGTGTTCAGTTAGGTTTGAAGAAACACTGAAGGATTTGCCACATGCCTTGCATACGTACAGCTTCTCTGCAGTGTGTGTTTGTATATGTGTAGCAAGGCCTGAGCGCTTTGTGAAGGCTTTTCCACACTCCTTACATTTATAGGGTTTCTCTCCAGTATGAATTCTGAAATGTTCTGTTAGGCTCGAAGAAGTAGTGAAGGACTTCTTACATTCCTTACATTCGTAGAGTTTCTCCCCAGTATGGGTTCTCATGTGACTATTAAGATTTGAGGAATATCCAAAGACTTTCCCACAAACCTTACATTCATACGGTTTCTCCCCAGTGTGGGTTCGCATGTGACTATTAAGATTTGAGGAGTAGCCAAAGACTTTCCCACAAACTTTGCATTCGTAGGCTTTGATAGTATACATTTGAAAAGGCACAGCTCCACTTTTGGAATACAGAAAATCTCTTGCAAATACCTTTAATTCATAGAGCTTTTCCCCATTGTGATTTCTCACATGTGTCTGAAGGTACGACTTACTAAGGAAGGGACAGTCACTGCATCCAAAAGGTTTGTCCTGCATGCTCATTCTCTGGTAGGCAACATTTGGAGTTGGGCTAAGGGCCATTTCACATTCATTTAACACAGAAAAGTTCTGTCCAGTAGAAGTTTTCATGCTCAGAGGAGGAAAAGATTTTCCATCCTGACCAGAGTCACAAGTATTTCTTGAATTCTGAGATTTCATGTGTGTCTTGAAATAGGAGTGTTCACTGAAGATTTCTCCCCAATGCTTATCATCATCAAGTTTCCCTGCACTGTGGATTCCCGCCTGTTGATGAAGAGATGAATGATGGTTAAAGATGTTTTTCAGAACTAATGGATGTTACTTATCTGAGGACAGAAACATTATTATTATTCTTGCTTTTTGCACTACATGTTTGTTTGTTTGTTTATTGATTGATTGATTGATTGATTGATTGTCTTTTTGAGACAGGGTCTTGCTATGCAGTTCAGGCTGACCTTGAGCTCACTTTGTAGCCCAGGCTGGTCTTGAACTCGTAATGATCCTCCTGCCGTAGCCTCCCAAGTGCTGGGATTACAGGCGTGCGCCACCACGCCTGGCTTTGCACTACATGTTTACAATTCCTGTTATGTGGATTTCTCTCAGGTTCAATGAAAGCAAAGATTTTGTGCTTTCTGTACTAATGTTGGAATGACTCCTGTATATTCTCATAAGATTCTTTTAGGAAGCTCAGTGCCCACTTATAGGTATGGCATTTTTTTACTTGTGGAAACTCTGAAGCCTCAAGTTTTTGTCTGGTTTTTGAGATAGGGTCTTGCTTTGTAGTGCAGGCTAGCCTTGAACTCACTCTGTATCCCAGACAGGCTTCAAATTCATGACAGTCTGCTTGCCTCATCCTCCTGAGTGCCACCATGCCTGCCAGAAGCCCCAAGTTTTGACCTAGCATTAGAGTACCTCCAATTCATCCCATTCAGAACATCCCTCTAGAGGTCTTTCTCCCATTAAGGTAAATACCACTTCTTTCAAGTATCTCTCACTTATACTAATTTTCTGCAAAGGAAGTGCTAATCTTTTCTGAGTACAGTTGTACTGGTTGATACACTGTGTCAACTTGAGAAGTTTAGAAATTTAATTCAGCAGGGAGCCAAGGTCCTTACTTTGTAATCATCCTGAGTTTGTGGAAGAGGAAGGCATGGAGATGGTGTGGGTGTGAAGGACCCCCTCCCCTATAGATAGCCTGCATATAATACAAGGGCAGGAAAGAGGCTTGCCTCTCCCCTCTTTTGCTCTTGTTGCTTTTGCTGTCTTCAGCTGCCTTGGACTGATACCCCTGAGCCATGCCACCCCACCCTGCCTTGGAGCCAGCTAATTACTGGACTGAAACCTCCACAAACCGTGAGGTAAACAAACCTGTTCTTCCTCAATTTTGGGCATTGGGTATTTCATCTCAGCAATGAGAAAAGTAACTAAGATAAGAGTAAATAGGAAATGTCCCTCATTAAATGTAGAACTTAGCCATGTGTTACTTCTTTGCTGTTAAAAAATAAATAAATGATGATTTAATTACATTATTTAGAGGATGACTATGATTTTTTAGTTTCCATGAAATTCTTATATTCTACCATGTGATTTCTATAAAATTGAATGGTGGAACAGTAGTGCCAAAATGTCATGATACTAGCTCTAATGTTGCAGACATTGATAAGATATTCAGAGAATTGCTTTAAAAAGTCAGTATCTGGTTGTTCATGTGGCAATGTATACCTGTGGGACCTCTGAAGGAAAAGAGGTTTTACCATAGGTTTGAAGAATTCCCAAATTCATTACATGGAGTATCTCTCCGGATACATTGCTTCCTCCTGGGTGAGTGCTACTTATATTCTATAATGAAATTCACAATCTTCTCTGTTTGGGAAATAACAAACATCTTTTGTTAATCTTACCATTAGTATCCCACTGGACGTTTGTTCCATCAAAATACCCTGCTCAAATGTTGACTCTCTGGTGCTAAGCTGCATGTCCCATTCTGAAGATGAACAGAAAAATAAAATTAAGATTCAGAGAAAGAAATGTTAGATTGTAGGAATTAAAAATGATAGGAGAGCTGGGGATACAGCTCAGTAGTACAGCACTTGCTTGGCATACAGGAGGCTGAGTTCATGCCCAGCACTGCACACACATGCACAAAGATAAGACTTACTTGCATCTGTAGTTTAAAAAAAAACCAAAACCCCAAAAACATAGGGTTAGTAGTTGAGCACATGTCTAGCATTTGCTAGGCCCTGGCTTCAATCCTCAGTTTGAGGGCAGGGTAAAAGAAGATGACAAAGTTTAAGCATGTTATGTAGGTCAAAAATTTTCCAATGGTAAAGTTTTAGGCCTGAGTTTTAGACATTTTACTATGATTCTCTGAAAATTAAAATGGATGGTAAATATTATCAGAAATAAAAGTTGCAAAGACCTGGACAAAGAATAAACAACACAATGTAACAATGAAAGAGACGAGGTCATTTTGTTTTACCACAATAAAGCATGATCAGGCAGAAACAGGCTGAGAAGTTGAGGATTCCCCATCTTCTCAGATAAATAGCCTGAAGCTTCTGACATCAAGTACATCTCAAAGGTTCCTCATTACACTTTCATACTTAACTGTGTCCTTGGATCAGGGTTGCTTTTCGGGAACACTCACCTTGGGGATCTCCTCTCTGCTGTGTCCTCCAATCCTCTTTGTGTTCCAACCAGGAGATCAGACTGGGTTTGACAAGCTCACACCCTGCACATGCGGAAAGATGCATTCATGCAAGAAGTTTAGGCAACAGAGCCCTAAACTTCATTTAATTCAGGCGTGATGCTTCTAATGAAAGCAAGGGAATGATTATAAAAGGATTAAGCATGCAAATATCTCTCTCTGTGCCCAAAATGTTTCATCTTCTCTAAACCCTGAAACCAAATTAATGCTTATGTGTACACTAACAAAACACAATTTGAATCAAATAGAAAAATCAGTATGAAACAAAAGGTATTTGTTCTGGGGTAAAAAACTACACTGAAGACTCACAAGTTATTGTCTGTCTGATTTATGTGGCTGGCTTGTCAGAATCATATGACATGGGCTAGGAGTGTAGCTCAGCAGTAAGGTGCTCACCTAGTATGCACAAAGCCCTGTGTTCCACCCCCAGTACCACAAAACAAAACTCTCCAGAATCTATGCAGTTCTTGATTCAGTAAGTCAAAGGAGGAGACTGACTTACAGTACTTCTAACAGGGTGAAGATGATGGTGTTGATTTTGGACCACATTTTAACAATCACGACATTAGACTAAAATTTGAGTGTGGTCCCCCTTACCCACGGTTTTGCTTTCTGCAGTTTCAGGAATCTACTGTCATCTGTGACCCCAAAATATTGGAAAGAACATTTCAGAAATAATTCATGTTCTGAGTAACGGATGCAAGTTTGCCAAGTGCCACCCCATCCCACCTAGAAGCACAATAGTCCTTTAGCAGCTGTGTTACCTACTAGGACAGGACAGGACAAGAGTGCTCATGTTCAAGTAACCCTTATTTAACTTCATAATGGGCCCACACCAGAACAGCCTAATGCTGCTAATTTGGAGAAACCCTAAAGTATTTCACTTAAGTGAAAAGTTGTATATTGTTGACTTAGCTAGGTGTGGTGGCACACACCTGTGATCCAATACTTCAGAGGCTGAGGCAGGAGGATCACCACAAGTTTAAGGCTAGTCCGGACTACATAGTTAAGTTCAAAGCCAGCCTAAACTACACAGCAAGATCTTGTCTAAAAAAAAAAGGCGTTGACTTATTTTTTTTGTCTCTCTCTGTTTTTTGGGTGGTACCGGGAATCAAACTCATGACCTCATGCTTGTAAGGCAAGCACTGTGCCACTGAGCTATATCCCCAGCCCAGTCGTTGACTTATTAATAAAAAGGAAAATAACCGTATGCTGAGGTAGCTATTATCTATTATAAGGAGGAATCCTCAATTTGTGAAATTGTGAAGGAAAAAGAAATTCATGCTAGTTTTACTGTTGTACATCAAAGCATTACTGAAATTGTACTGAGTTCAGGACTAGCTGCAGTTTCAGGAACCTATTGGGGTGTTGGGAGATACCTTCCAAGGATAAAGCAGGACTAGTGTCCTGGGACAGAGGCTATGTCCACCTCATTTCCCTGGGGACTCAGAGTCCACAGCACCCAGGCTGGGACCCAGGAAGTGAGCAGCTTCCATCTCCTCCCCACAGGCACGGCGCCGCTCTTACCCACGGAGGCCAGGTTCTCGTAGTTCTCCAGCATCACCTCTCTATAAAGGTCTCTGTGACTTCGATCCAGCAAAACCCACTCCTCCTGGGTGAAGTCCACGGCCACATCCTCAAAGGTCACCGAGTCCTGGATCATCACACACAGGCCAGCCTGAGTGCCGAGTCACACAATGACCTCTCCGCCAACGTTCACCAGAGATGAGGGGGTGAGACCGAGGCACACACAGGGCTCCGAGGGCCTCCGCTGCCCACCCAAGGCCCAGCAGTCCTAGGGACCTTTCCTCTACCCAAATCTGTCCACCTCGTGCCACCAAGGGGCTGCAGTGACCCTTCTCAAACACAAACTCCTCTTCCCACAACTAGACTCGCAGCTATTTTCATCTTATTCTGTATTATTAAAGTACAGCTCCTAGGGGCTGGGGATTTAGCTCAGTGGCAAAAGCGCCTGCCTGGCAAGCGCAAGGTCATGAGTTCGGTTCCCGGTACCGGAGAAAAACAAAAACAAAAACAAAAAATAAATAAAAATAAAAAAATAAAGTACAGCTCCTGAACACAGGTATATATTTGCTAAATAGACATAAATTAATAAACTTTCCTAGAAAAGAACACTTTTTTCTTCCTTAATATATATGAGAGTACTTGGCAAAATAACAAACATACCCTTGTCACCATGAATATCTCATTAAGCAGTAGTTACTGATATCCTGGAATAGCTTTCAGGTAATGCCTTACCTATAAGAGCAATGTGGCTCTCTAAGGAAATCAGCTGGGGACCAGTCTTTGAGACTTTCCTGGCTTTAAGGTGGGGACACAAATCTGCCTTGGCCAGAAATGTGTCCATCTGATGGGGGCAAGCATGTCATCTTGGACACGGGTTCTGCATACCTGACAGCAGTTTATCAGGCAGTCAGCCACCATCCTTTCTTTCTTCATCTTTTCTTCAAAAAAGAGGACTGTGTCCCTAGAAGGAAGGGCTCCTAGAAAAGAGAGAAGGCATGACAATCCAGAACACAGCAAAGTTCCTATGCTCGCATGCTGGAAGTCATTCCATCCGAGTATGAAATTCCCACGTAATCCCACACGCTCAACACAGACACACAGACACGCCCCCACTACTGCCATACAGTGCCATAGCTGCTGTCTCATTTATAGCAAAAAAGGGATGGTGAGGCACGTTGCCCCCAGAAAAACTGCAATAGTCGCATTTTATAGGTAAGGAATACTTGGGATTTTTTTGTGGTTGTTTGGTGGTAATGGGGGTCAAACCCAGGGCCTTCACACTGAGCTACATCTCCAGCCATTTTTACATTTTTTTTAAATTTTAAGAGAGGGTCTTATTAAATTGTCCAGGTTAGGCTTCCATTTGCGATCCTCTGCCTCAGCCTCCCAGAGTGCTGGGATTCCAGGTGTGCACCACTACACCTGGGCAGGTAAGAAAAAAAAATTTAGGTAATAACATTTAAACCCATGGAATTTGCCTGTGGTGGTAAATCTTATGAAGGAGACTACACAGCACACATAGCAGGGGGCTGACAACCACACCAGCATTCTCTGCCCCACGTTGACATCTTCATAAAGAACAGAAGGGTTGGTGACTGTTGAGGCCCACTACAGTCTATTGCTCAGAGAAGACAAAAGCAGAGCATCAGCAGGACTGGGCTGGGACCAAATCAATGGCTGACATCCAGTAAGGCTCCAGGTGAGATGTACCCTGAAAGCTAAGCTGTACTTCATGCTGGCTTATGAGCCTGTGATTGGTGGAAATCTCCATTCCTCCTTACACAGGGTTATCTGAGTCCTTGGTATTAATCAGTGTTTTCCAAGTTGTACTTCATCATCAGTCATCAGAGTATTAACACACATTGTCATGTGCTGAGCCCATTATGACTGAATCTGCACTGTATATATACAGAGTCACTTAAGTATCATACCAACCCTTCACATCAGTACCAATATATCTATTTAATGCTGAGAAAAACCTAGATTCAAGCCAGGAGGTGGAGGCAGGAGGACAAGCCCAGGGAGATTACTGAGACCCTATCTTAAGTTGGGCCTGGTGGTGCATGCCTGTAAAGCCAACACTTGAGAGCCCCAGAAAAGAGATCACTGCAAGTCTGAGGTCAGGCTGGGCTACATAATGAGCTCAAGGCCAGCCTGAGCTACCTAGTGAAACCCTGACTCAAAAACAGAAACAACTTAGTGAGAGAGGGGGCTTGGGATATAGCTCAATAGGAAAGGCCTGGGTTCAGTCCCAAGTACTGTATTATAAAAACCAAAACCAAACCGAGCCAAATCTAGATTCAGACAGCACAGAAGTTCCATATCACTTTGCTAAGAAGCAGAGATCCGGGACCTGACTGCAAGTTTGTCCCCGAACCCTTGATTGCCTGTGGTTGCCGGTACACTCCAGGGTGAACAGAAAGAAAAATATTTTTATTCCAAGCCCAGCAATTGGCTGCATTTGGAGATCTTCATCTCTAGGGGCACAACGATAGTCCCAATAACTCAGAAGATTAGACAGCTATCTGGCCACTTGGGGCTTCTCCTGTCACTACACTACCAGGCAATATGAGAGGCTGGGAGTTTTCTTCTGGCCTGCCAGGTCTGTTACCAAAGGGAAACTGAGGAAATGCTATGTAATTGAGGCAAGGAGTGTAAAGCCTCAAACCTGTGCAGGTTTCCATGCTCCCCAGACAATATATGTGCAGCCAGGTATAGCTATACCTGTCATTCCAGGTACTTGGGAAGCTGGATATTAGTTTGTATCTAGTCATGTGCTCAAACATGGGACCTTTCGAAGGTGATTGGATTATGGGGCTTATATCTGGCTTGCTGTTAGGAGACAGGGTCTGGCCACAAGAGGTGGGCTGCTGGGGGTGTACTCTGGAAGGGTTTATCTCACCTCTTGGCTCCTCCCATTCTGCTCTGCTCCCTCCTGCCATACCTGAGAAGCTACCCTCCACCAGGGCCCTCCACCATGCCTTCCTGCCTTGGAGCCAGCCGACTATGGACTGAAAACTTAGCAAGACTCAAAATTAAAAAAAAAAATAAAATAAAATAAAACAATGGCTCAGAATATAGTTCAGTGCAAAGGTCCTAGGTTCAACCCCTGGTACTGTAAAAAAAAAAAAAAAAACCACAACAAAAAAAAGCAAAAAACCCCAACCCAAATCAAAACAAAAAACTTTCCACTGCAAATAGAGGAATGATATAATGCACTTATTACCAATAAAATGCCATTGCAAAGCACACATCACCTACAAAACATTTGGTAAGTGATCTTTTGAATTCTCTATGCCAGGTGTTGACAGGCTATGGCTCACTGGCCTAATATTGTAAATTTGGCTTTACTCTGACAAAGCCACACCTCTCTGTCTACTAAAATATCTGGCTGCTTGACCACTACCAAGACAGAGGTTGCTAACTAGAGACATTATGCCCTCAAAGCATCCAGCACTTACTAGCGGGCTGTTTTTACAGTTTTCCAACCCCTGCTGGGGACCCAGTCATCAATTATATAGTCATGAAATGAAAGACTCAGGGAGAAGAAAGAGGGGGGAGAAATTAGAAAAGAAAATAGAATTAAGATATGTTATGTACATGAACCAACCACCTCCAAGGAAAGTAATCACTATGTACTCCAAACACATAGTAATAAAAATAAAAATTTAATAGAAAAAGACTAATTTAAATGTACCACGAGAAGACAACCATAAATAGCAAAGTGCTTTGACTTTTTAAATGAATGAGTTGGGGCTGGGGATTTAGCTCAGCGGCACAGAGCCTCCCTGGCAAGCACAAGGTCGTGAGTTCAATTCCTGGTACCAGAAAAAAACCAAAACCAAACAAACAAACAAAAAAATAAATGAATGAGTTGCTCTTCAAAATGCCAATATAATAGTCAGGACGAATTCTAGGCTTAGCACATTCATGGTGGAGTTTTAATTTGTATGTCTTGCTGCTGGGTGGCTCTGAACCATGGGACAGTCACGGATGTACCACCAGTGAGTTCAAGCCATAAGAAACATGTTAAAGAGACTAAACAACATAAACAAATGTAATAAGAAACCTTGACCTGGGCAGGGTGCCATATACCTGTAATCCCAGTACTCTGTGAGGCTAAGGCAGGAGGAATGCAAGTTCAAGCCCACATAAGCAACTTAGTGCCTTAATGAGACCCTGGCTCAAAATAAAAAGGAGCTAGAGAATGCAGCTCAGGGTAAAGGTGCTGGATTCAATCTTTAAGACTGTCAGAAAACAAAGAAACAAACTTTGGATCTTAGATCCAAAACATCCCAAAGCCTGTTTGGGGCTGGGGATGTAGTTTAGTGGTAGAGTATTACTCTTAAGTTCAATTCCCTCCAACATCCATCCATACACACACACACACACACACACACACACACACGTACGTGCACATATCTATGTTAGAATGATGCAGATAAATTAAGTTTTGATGGGGCAGATACTAGACAATGTTATTCATTTTGGGGTAAATTTGCCCATTTACCCCATTTGAAGTGGGGTGGTGGGAATTGAATCCAGGGCCTAGCACATGTGGCTGAGCTACTCCCTAACCCCTGTTGTTGAGCTACTCCCAACCCTTGTTATTAATTTTTTTTATTTAAAGAAAAGTCTTATTAAGTCTTCATATATTTAGGAGATACATCACTATCTAAAGTTCACGTAACATACCTACAATTTGTTTTCAGTGTGCTCTCAAATAGTTTACAATAAAAAGTATTTTTTTTGTTGTTTTTTCCGGTACTGGGAATCAAACTCACGACCTTGCGCTTGCCAGGCAGGCACTGTGCTGCTGAGCTAAACCCCCAGCCCCAATAAAAAGTATTTTATCTGCGAGAAAACATGAAAAAACACTAAAAATGAGTGAATCTACTACAATGTATATACATTATAATTTTATACTGAAATGACCTGTAAGCAGTTTCAGATTGTTCTGAAGAAAAATGTGGAAAATATACTTAGTCCAACTACTTCATAGTAGTAAACATAATTATTCTACTACTAGTGCAATAAAGCGGCCATGCTTCCTTGCTAGAGGCTGGGTTTTTAAGTTTTCTGAGGATGTACATAGGTCTAGGAAGTTCAGGTGAAAAGGATGGTGGTGAATTCTTGGTTTTGCTTATCAAAAGGACTTGTGGGCTAAAAACATTCCCTGTCACATACAGAAACATGCACACCATAGGCACCTAAGAAAGGATGTTTATCTTTCTAATAAAAGTGATCGTATTAGTCACTTTCCAGTAACTGGGACAAAATACCCAGCACCCACAATTACAAGGAGGAGGAGTTTATTTTGGCTCACGGTTTCAGTAGGTTCATTCCAAAGTAGCCTGGCTCCAAGGCGGAAGGCATGGCAGAGAAAAGCTGCTCACTGCACAACAGCCAGAAAGCAAGAGACTGGGGAGAAGCAAGGGACAACACCTTTCCAGGTCAGGCCCCCAAGGACCCTCCTCCAACCAGGCCCCCAACACGAAACACACCACTGATGTGTATAGCGACCCCAAGATCCAATCACCCTCCACACAAATGAAACTTTTGGGGGATACTTTAGATCTAAACCATAACAGTGACTATGAAAAATACCTACATGACACGAAAAGGAAGAGGTAAATTCTCAGATGAAAGATTCATTTGCCTTAAGACAAGGAGAGAGGTCCTCGAACCTGTCTCTGTGTGTGTGTGCGCGCGCGCGCGCGGTGCTTAAGATGGAACCCATGTCGGAAGAGCGAGCGCCCTACCCGCGAGCTCCACCCGCAGCCCTGCCCAGTTCTCTCGCAGTGCTCACCCGAACGCGCTTCAACCGCCAGGTCTATGAGGTGGCAGGACACTGGGGACGTCGTCAACGTGACTCGAATGGCGGAAATTATTTTACTTTTGGGAAATTTTTTTTTTTTTTTTTACAAAGGCTGCTTTGAAGATTTTTGAAGAGAACAAAAGAGTCGATGAAACATCCCGAAGACACAGTATAACGACACCTGCCGTCCCGCTCCTCGCAGAGCCCGACAGCCCGAGCGGCCTCGAGGAACAGGACCCGCAGCCCAGCGGGCGCGAGCAGAGCGTCCACGCTCCTCGGCGCCTCCGCACAACGCTGTCTTTCAACTAGCCCGTCTACATTAGGGAACCCCCTTCACACTGAACTCGCCGTCGTAAACTGAATGTAATCCACTACCAGCAAAGAGGAGCCTAGTCGCGCTGAGATGCGTCATAAAGACGGAGACTAGTTGATGACGCCAGTTCCGCTTCCGGCAAGGGCGGGGCCGGGCTCGGGAGCCTACGGCCTTCTCCGAGTTGGATTAGGTCTGGCGTTAAGTCTAATTTATTGGTAGGTGCACAGGGAAAGGCTTAAGGGTTGGCTCAGCACCGAGAGTGAGGGCAGAAATGGCCCAACGGCCTCGAGGACTAAGTTGCGTGTGGAACGCGCCATCTGGGCAGGGCTGCACTTGGGTGTGAAGGACGGATTGGACAAGAATGGCCCATGTGGGTTGGTGTCTCAACTGCAAGGATGTTCATCAAGACTTTTTAGTTTTTTGAGGCAGGGTCTAGCTATCTAATTTAGACTAGTCTTGAACTCACTGTGTTGCTCAGGGTGTCCTCGAACTTGTGGCGATCCTCCTACTTTAGCCTCCCCAGCGCTAGGGATAGCAGGTGTGCGCCAGGCCCAGCTCATCAAAACATTTTTTACAAGCTTCTCCCCACGTTACTCGAACCCCTATAGATTTAATGAACCAAGTGAAAATTCAGTCTCTCTTTCCACTTCCCATTCTTTATCTCTAAATAAGAAAATCTATTCTTATTTTCAAGTAGTTTTAAGTGTGTGGTGTGTTCTGGAGGGGGCAGGCACAGTGACACAGACACACCTAGGAACTGCACCCAGGTACGCTCTACCACTGAGCTATACCCCCAGTCTCTTTTTTGTTGTTGTTTTGAGACGAGGTCTTGCTAAATTGCCCAGGTGGGACTTGAACTTGAAATCTTCCTGCCTCAGCCCCAGTGCTGGAATTATAGGCATGAGTTTAAGTGTCTATATTATTAAGCTACACTTAAGGAAATCATGTTGATTTTGGATGTTGTTTCTCCTCATCTTTTACATGAAACTCTAGCCGAATTAATGGTGACATTAATCATTTGTCAAACCCATGTTCTTCAAACCAATCAAGTTTGGAATTATCAGCGTTTTCTATGGTAACCATAAAGTGTGGAACTAAATCTGATGCACATTTCTTTCTTCCTTACTGGACATCTAGTCACACTACAGTCAGTCTCTCCTTCCTTCTCCCTCTTCCTTTCCCTCCATCTCTCTTCCCACCTAGGGATTTAACCCAGGAGTTTCACAATGAGCTACATCCTGGGCTTTTTTATTTTTATTTTGAGACAAGGTCTTCTTAACTTGCTAAGTTTTCTAGGCTGAGCTTGAACTCGAAATTCTGCCTCAGCCTCCTAAAGTGCTGGGATGACAGGTGTGCCCCACTTGCACCCCCTTTAACCCAGTCCAAGAATTACTTAAACAGAAGAAACAGAGAAAGCAGGACCATAAGGAGACTGGCTGGGCACTGCTCCCTGGCATTCGTTGGATTTGGGGGAGCAATGGTTTTCTGAGAAAGTGTCAAAAGAGCTGTTTGATTTGAACAAATCTGCTTAGCTAGGACCAGTGCCAGAAGCAGTACCCACAACCTGGCCACTATTGCTCTGCATGTGTTTGCTCTGTAGGTACACAGGGCATCTCACTGATGCAAGGTCTGCAGAGATCTGCTAGCTCTAGGTGGACACAGGCAAGGTGGGGTCCACCCTTTTAATTGCTGTTCAGATCATTTATGTTTAATATATCTGAGTATGTTATGATTCAGTTGTACTATTTGTTATGTGTATGGTCTCTTTGGCATTCACTTTCCCCTTTAACATAGCTTTTTTGGATTAACCTTTTCCCCATAGTATTGTTATGATTCAGTTGTACTATTTGTTATGTGTATGGTTTCTTTGTCATTCACATTCCCCTTTAACATAGCTTTTTTGGATTAACCTTTTCCCCATAGTACTCTTATTTTCATTTACCTATTGTATTTTCATTAAAATGTACATATTTCCCAGTCTAAATTGAATAGTTTGCTGCATATTTTTAATTTAATGACATTCAGGGTCTTTAAGTCCTATGGAAAATGTAGATATTTGATCAAGTAACCAACAAAGTTGGGTTCAGTGTGAAAATTCTGAGGCTGGAAGCATAGCTTAGTGGAAAAGTGCTTACTTAGCATGAGCGAGGCCTTAGGTTGCACCTCCAGCACTGAAAAAAAAGTAGGCAAGGTTCAATGGGTAGTCTGTGGGTTATGGTTTTCACTATGTGTTTTCTCTGCAAAGCCTTTGTAGTGGAACTTGTATCTCTATTAAAGATGGAATAAATGGAGGGTAGCTGTTATGGCTTGTGTCTAGATGTCCCCCCAAAAGCCTCATTCAGTCACAGGTGGGGTTTTTTAGAGGTGGCTGGGTCTGAAGTGTATGACACTGGATTTTATTGATGGTGCAGTGCTAGGCTCAAGAGCACTAGGATTAAGGGTGTGAGTGATACCCACTCTTAAGTAGTCTGGGTAAGTCAAAGGGGCAGAAAGATGCTATTAAGGTCCTTTGTTGCTTTTGCTACCTCCTGCCTGCCATGAACTATTGCCTGTCTGTCACACCATCCTACGTTGGAGCCAGCTGATTATGGACTGAAACCTCTACAAATTGTGAGCTAAATAAACCTTTGGGACTGCCTTGTGGGAAGAATCTGGAAAGGTTCAGAGATGCTGGGTGAAAAAACAGAGCTGGAATGCCTGAGGCTGTACTTGACAGGAGATTCTGGTCAGAGCTCAGAAGACCAAAAGGCTGATAGAAAACCTGCCAGTAAAGACTAGTCTTGGGAGGTTTCTGCTGGGAAGGACTGCATTGACTGTTGGACTCCAGACAATGTGTGTTACACCTTGGCAGAAAGTTTTTCTGCATTTTGCTTGTATCCAGAGACTTTGCCTGGGACTGAGATTAAGGGTGGTGGACTAATTAATCTTGCAGAAGAAATTTCAAGGGAGTCTAATGTTGGTGGAGGCATGGCTACTGTTGGGGGCTTTTAGCCAGATTTATGCTGAGAATCAAGAGCAAAGAGCCCAACAAAATGAGTTAAAGTATGGGTTTGGTCAGAAAGGAAGCACCAGTAAAGTTATGGACTGCAAAGATAGAGCAGAAGAAATCTTGATTGCTGAGAAGGAACAGGAGACTAGAAAAGATGGCCTGAGGGCATCATAAAAAGCAGCAGCACTCCACCCCTTGCAGCCTCAAAATTGCAAAAGTGAGACTGCTTTGAGAAGAAAGCCCCAGAGCACCATGCCTCAGAATGGCAGTGGTATAGAGAATTTATTCCTCAGAATTGGAGTCCGAGAGTGCTCAATGATCTAGGCACTGGACCCTGGCAGCCAAGAGGGAAAGAAACCTGGCTACTGCTTCAGCTGGCAACAGACCTTGGCATCATCCACGTGGCCCTGGTTTTAGGTGCATGCAGAATGTAAGAGTTGTGGGATCAGGAAGATTTCGCTTCCACTCAGATTTCAAAAGCTCTGGGAGGCCAGGCAGTGTGTCCCTGAGAGGGCAGTGTGTGAAGCTGTGTGAAGCCAAAGGTGCAGTGGAGACCCCAGAAGTTAGGAGAAGCCAGGAACATGGATCATCTGAGGAGAGCTGCAAGGAGGGAGCAAAGCCCACCCCAGAGAGAAGCTATGGGAGCTTTAACCACTGACAGTGCCACAGGGGTGGAGCTACCCAAGCTCTTTGGAGTTCATACCTTGCCATGGATTGCTGGGAATGCTGGAAGTGGAACTGTGGGATTTAATGCTGGATTTTGGTCTTGCTTTGTTCCCATTCCTTGCTATCCCCGTTTGTAACTTGGAATGGAAGTATCTATCTTGTGCCATTGAATGTTGAAAAGTGTTTAACTTTCATTTATACAGGGGCTTACAGCTAAGAGTTTGCCTTAAGTCTCGGTGGAGACTTGGGACTTGGACTTTTCAACAATGTTGAAATTGTTAGGATTTTAGCAACTCTTACAGATGGACTGAATGCCTTTTGTATAAACGGATGTGCATGAGTTTTGGAGGGGTAGGGTGGAATGTTATGGCTTGTGGCTAGATTTCCTCCTAAAGCCTCATGCAGTCATTGGTGGGGCTTTTTCAGAGGTAGCTGGGTCTAATATGTGATGCATGGGTTGATTCATGGTGCAGTGCTAGGTCCAAGAGCACTAGGATTAAGAGGGCAAATACTTCCTGCTGTAAGTAATTTGGGCAAGATAAATGGGGCAGAAAGATGCTGATAAAGTCCCTTGTTGCTTTTGCTACTTTCTGCCTGCCAGAACTGTTGCCTGTTGAGCATACCACCCTGCCATGGAGCCAGTCAATTGTGAACTAAATAAACATTTCCTCCTTTAATTTGGGTGTCTGATATTTTGTCTCAGCAATGAGAAAAGTAACTAAGATGATAGTCTCAGTCTCACTCTGGAGACCCATAGTATGTCACAGACACCACAGGATTGCCTCTGAGAGGCTAGGAACATGTAAATGGAAGGGAAAAAACATGTAATTTCCATCCTTCCAACAGTGCTAGATGGTAGGACCATCTTTCTTCTCTGTCTCTGTCTCTGTCTCTATCTCTGTCAGCATTAAGGCACCCCACATACACCTTTGCCAGAAACAGAAGTCCTATGATAATCTTATGTCCACAAAAAGAAAAATGAAATTCAACATATATAGACACAAGCAGGAATGGTATCAGTTAACTGTTGAAATTTGAAACTAGGACTACAAGAAAATATGGAAGACAAGGTAATAGAACAATTTTAAGGCCTTCAGTTAGGTTCTCAAATGACATATAGTAAGTCCCCAATTTACAAATGAGTTCTGTTCCAGGAGATGTTTGTAAGTTGGATTTGTTCCTAAATCCAACAAAATGAGTCCTATATGGTACACCTGTGAAAGTTAACAACACAAATGTTTGTAAGTTGGGGACTTAGTAAAGGAATGGTTGGAGAAATTTGGGTACATCACAATTAAGGCAAAATTATGGCAAGCATGGTGGTATAAGCCTATAATCCCAGCATCTGGGAGGCTAGAACAGGAGGATCACAAATTTGAGTCCAGAGCTGGGGATTTAGCTCAGCGGCACAGTGCCTGCCTGCCACGTGCAAGGTCGTGAGTTCGA